GAGGGGAGCCCGAGGGCGTTCACGGTTCGGTCGTTTCAGCTTTGCGTCGCAGTCGGCTGTGTCGCGGTCGCCTCTAGCAGTCGGAGCTGCCGTGCACGGCACCAAGCTTCCTTGGGGCAAGAAGGTGGTTGAGGTGGGAGGGCGAACGGCAGTGCGATGATGGAGCAAGAAGGCCACTTGCAGCACCTGTAGCGCGCTGTCCCGCTCGCATCCTGACGGATCTTACCCCGCCTCAGCCGTCACGTGCTCCCCTGGCCCCATTCCGTCGATCGTCCGTCGTCGACGCCGTGCACGGCCTCAACCGCCATGGAGCATCAGGAGCAATCACAACGTGTGAGTCGCAGGGGTGGCATGTGGCAAGCGTTACGAGAAAATGTGGCGCAAATGCTTGTACATCTTTGGCCCTGCCTGTCTTCTCGGTGAAGAAGGGAGACGAGGGCACACAGTGAGCTGACACGCAGTTCAAAGGTGGAGGGTACTTGCCAGCAGCAGCATCAGTCCCATGCCCTTCCCGCCTTACCTCTCATGATGAGACATTGGCTCCCCCTCCTTGTCCGTCACTGACGCCATGCAAACGAGGGAAGGTGAAATGCGCAGGAATTAGGCAGGGGATGCGAGCGTGTCGCCATCTGGGTAGCAGAGCGTCGACACTCATCCTGCCTCACAGCTTCTCGGACTGGACGAACGCTTCAGCCCCCGACGCAAGCTCTCGGCCTCAGCGGACGGGATCGTGGGCTCTCCTGCAAGGGCTCACCAAGGATCCGACGCTGCGAGAGAAATGCGACATCGCGAAAATCACGACCGGAGCCCTAGACCGAATTTTCGCGTGCCATCTTTCGAGCCGGGTCGATCAGTGATGGTCCGCTGCCGCGAAACCTGGCGAAAACGCCCAGTGAAACACTTCTGCGCAACGATCTGGGCATGTCACGCTCCAAGGTCCAAAACAGATAGCTGGTGTTATACGTGCAGATCTCAGGGTCCGTGGCTGCTTCAGTCACGGCTCCATCCCGACTCTTCGGTTTCAACCAAGCGTGATCTTGTTTTTTCCCCATATCCTTCCCGCTGCCCGCTGCTTCCCGCTGCTCCTCCCGCTGCTCCTCCTTCCTCCTTCCTCCTTCCTCCCGCTCGCGCCTCCCTCCTCCCAATGATAATCACCAGATAAGACAAGACAAGATAATCTACTACAAGATAAGATAAGATAGCACAATATATGATAAGAAGAGATTTCAAGATAATATAAGATAAGTTAAGCTCACACTCGCACTCTCTCATGATCACAAAACGCTGCCAGGGGCATCATTTGGGAGCCCCAAGGGGGAGCCACCCTGGCTGATCTCACGAGCCCGTTCGCGCCGATTTTGGTGGGACGTCTCAGCTAGAATTGCCGTTTGGCGCCCCCAACATGTATCTCTTGAGAGCCTCATGGTCACAAAACGCTGCCAGGGGCATCATTTGGGAGCCCCAAGGGGGAGCCACCCTGGCTGATCTCACGAGCCCGTTCGCGCCGATTTTGGTGGGACGTCTCAGCTAGAATTGCCGTTTGGCGCCCCCAACATGTATCTCTTGAGAGCCTCATGGTCACAAAACGCTGCCAGGGGCATCATTTGGGAGCCCCAAGGGGGAGCCACCCTGGCTGATCTCACGAGCCCGTTCGCGCCGATTTTGGTGGGGCGTCTCAGCTAGAATTGCCGTTTGGCGCCCCCAACATGTATCTCTTGAGAGCCTCATGGTCACAAAACGCTGCCAGGGGCATCATTTGGGAGCCCCAAGGGGGAGCCACCCTGGCTGATCTCACGAGCCCGTTCGCGCCGATTTTGGTGGGACGTCTCAGCTAGAATTGCCGTTTGGCCTCCCCAACATGTATCTCTTGAGAGCCTCATGGTCACAAAACGCTGCCAGGGGCATCATTTGGGAGCCCCAAGGGGGAGCCACCCTGGCTGATCTCACGAGCCCGTTCGCGCCGATTTTGGTGGGACGTCTCAGCTAGAATTGCCGTTTGGGCCCCCCAACATGTATCTCTTGAGAGCCTCATGGTCACAAAACGCTGCCAGGGGCATCATTTGGGAGCCCCCCGTGACGAGAGAGAGGGAGAGAGAGAGAGAGAGAGAGAGAGAGAGAGCAGAGAGAGAGAGAGAGAGGAAGCGAGAGAGAGGGAGAGGAGAGAGAGAGAGAGAGAGAGAGAGAGAGAGAGAGAGAGAGAGAGGGGGAGTTGAGAGAGGAGACAGGCGAGAGAAAGAGAGAAGAGAGAATAGAGAGAGAGAGAGAGAAGAGAGAAGAGAGAAGAGAGAGAGAGAGAGAGAGAATAGAGATATAGAACAGAGAGAGAGAGAGAGAGAGAGAGAGAAAGTGGAGAGAGAGGGAGAGAGAGAGAGAGAGAGAGAGAGAGAGAGAGAGAGAGAGAGAGAGAGAGAGAGAGAGAGAGAGAGAGAGAGAGAGAGCGAGAGAGAGAGAGAGAGAGAGAGAGAGAGAGAGAGCAGAGAGAGAGAGAGAGAGCGAGAGAGAGCGAGAGAGAGCGAGGGAGAGCGAGAGAGAGAGAGAGAGAGCGAGCGAGAGAGCGACAGAGAGCGAGAGAGAGCAAGAGAGAGCGAGAGAGCGAGAGAGAGAGAGAGAGAGAGAGAGAGAGAGAGAGAGAGAGAGAGCGAGGGAAGAGAGAGAGAGAGAGAGATAGAGAGAGAGAAGAGAGAGAGAGAAGAGAAGAGAAGAGAAGAGAAGAGAAGAGAAGAGAAGAGAAGAGAGAGAGCGAGAGAGAGAGAGAGGGAGAGTGAGAGAGAGAGGAGAGAGCAGAGAGAGAATAGAGAGAGAGAGAGAGAGAGAGAGAGAGAGAGAGAGAGAGGCAGAGATAGAGGCAGAGAGAGAGAGGCACAGAGAGAGAGGCAGAGAGAGAGAGAGGCAGAGAGACAGAGGCAGAGAGAGAGGCAGAGAGAGAGAGACAGAGAGAGAGGCAGGGAAAGAGAGGCAGAGACAGAGAGAGGGCAGAGAGAGAGAGAGAGAGAGACAGAGAGAGCAGAGAGAGTAGAGAGAGAGGCAGCTCAGTCACACTTAAATCCAGATTCGTCCTCACCGAGTCCCACCACCAAGGGAGCGCCAGCAAGGAGATGCACATATTGGGATCCCCACGCAGTGAATCATTTATTTCAGGGCGATAACTGGCGTCACCGGGGGGGGAAAGGGGGCCGGTGACGTCACGTTTTGCGCCAGCGGCGTCTGGGAATACCTAGTCACGACCGATGCCAATTAGGGGCAGTATGTAGGCGGCGAACTGCGCCACAGCGCCCGTGTGAACCACCGTGCCTGCGTGCAGCACAGCGCCTGTGTAAACCACAGCGCCTATGTACACCACAGCAACCGCGTGCAGCGCAGCGCCAGTGTGCAGCACATTGCCTGCGTGCACCACAGCGCTTGTGTACACCACAGCGCCTGCGTACACCACAGCAGCCGTGTGCAACACAGCACTAGTGTACACTACAGTGCCTTCGTGCACCACAGCGCCTGTGTACAGCAAGCGTGTGCAACAGAACACCTGTGTTGTATATCGGATTTTAAAGAAACCCTTGTGGCAAAATGGAGCGTCTGTGGATTCCACAGAACAACTGTTCCATATACGATTTGGACAGGAATCCTTCTGGAAACAGGAGTGCCTCTGGAATCTACGAGTCCTCCAGAGTCCTCCCGCATCATCCAAGCTCCTCCCATCTGCGTCCACAAGGCTCCCGCAGAATTGGCCGTTCGAGAACCAAGTGGATAGATCCAATCGATCATTCTGCGGTGCACATTGGTGGGCTGCGCACGTGCGCTGTAGAGCCGACCCGCGCGACGGGGGAACGGTGAGGGAGGAGGAGGAGGAGGAAAAGGGAAGATGAGGAAGAGGAGGAGGAGAAGGAGGAGTAGGAGGAGTAGGAGGAGGAGGAGGAGGAGGAGGAGGAGGAGGAGGAGGAGGGGGACGAGGGATGAGGAGGAGGAGGAGGAGGAGGAGGAGGAGGAGGAGGAGGAGGGAGCAGGAGGCGGATGAGGAGGAGGAGGAGGAGGAGGAGCAGGAGCAGGAGGAGGATGAGGAGGAGGAGGAGGAGGAGGAGAGAAAAACATCGCAGTATATTCTTAGTACTCCCTTTGCGTGGTGTTAAGTTGTCCGCAGCAAGTCCTCATGTACGTGCTCCTTCTACCTGTCCCGTACACGCAGGCGTTGTGGTGTACACCAGGGCTGTGTTGCACGCGGCTGCTGTGGTGTACACAGGCGCTGTGGTGTGCACAGGCGCCGCACTGCATGCGAGCATTGTGTTGTTTACAGGCGCTGTGTTGCAGACGGCTGCTGCGGTGTACACATGCGCTGTGGTGTACACAGGCGCTGCGGTGCACGCAAGCACTGTGGTGTACACAGTCGTTGCGTTGTACACGTCTGCTGCGGTGTTCAAAGGCGCTGTGGTGTACACGCGGGCCGTGGTGCACGCGAGCACGCTGGTGTGCACAGGCGCTGTGGTGCAGATCGCCACCTGCATGCTGGCCCTATTTGGCCTCGGTCGTCCCTAGACATTCCCAGACGCCGCCGGCGCGAAACGTGGCGTCACCTGAAGGAGGGGTGGGGGGGGCGCGTCAAGCAGTGGCGAAGCGTCCTGGCTCGCCTATAACCCTACCAAACAATGTTCTAAGAACCTTTTGTGGTTTCCACGAAATGTCCTTAGACCATTTCTGGTGGAATCTGTCTTGTTTTTATCACATCGGGCTTATGTTCTAAGAACATGGTTTTTGCTCTTAGAGCAGTTTTGGGTTCTAAGAACATTTCGTGGTAGGACTATAGGAATGCTGGAACGGTCGATCCCTGCTCAAGCGCGGGGCCAGTGATGGCCGCCATTGCGGAACATAGCAAGCAGGCTCCATATTCGCGCGTCGCCTCAAAAGGGGCGACGCGTTCGCTCGTACATCTTCTACTGCAAGCTCCGTGACAGGCGTATTCTGGCCGTGCCGCTCGGGAGACGATCTACTATGAGACTTGTGCGATACTTTTG